TCACCAGTCGAGTCACTGACGGCTCAGGTTATTAAAACATTGAAGTTGATTTTAATATTCCATGGAAATGGAAGTTATTTCTATTATCATTCAGTTAAGTATTTCAATTCGTTCGTGTCATCATTGGTCCGATTTTCAAGTTCATGCTTAACGTTCTAGTGATCGTTTACAGCAATTAATAGGATTAGAACTTCCGGGATAAACTTTTAATAATAATTTTTAATTATTTAAAATATTGTTTGTCTAAAGAAAGCTGAAATAATAAAATAATTACTCTCCAAACAACTGGACGAAACAGCAAAGCGGCATCTCTTTGTGTCTGTCTTTAATCTAAAAGAATAATTTAATTAAAAACATTGTTTAAAGAAAGCTCAAATGTAAATAATTACTCTGCAAACAACTGGACGAAACAGCAAAGCGGCATCTCTTTGTGTCTGTCTTTAACTTAAAAATATTTTATTTAAAAATTTGTCTATTTGAAAAAATTTAAAATAAAAATACTTACTGTATAAACAACTCGTATTTTTAAATCTTATTCACTTAAATCAGATTAGCTTAAATCATTATGCGCCGGACGGATGCCGCACACAAGCACACACGCAATTATAAACTTCTCGTATTATATAGAGAGAAACAAAAAGGATATTTAAAATTAACATCAGGAAGAGACAATTGAAATTCCTATGACACATAATGAGGAAAAAGGGTTTGGAAAGTTTGATACCCACATGACAGATTGAAGGAAAGAGGGACAGAGAAAAACTTTGGGTAATCTACCTGGTGATCTATAGTGAATGGATGTCAGAAAAAGGTTTAGAAGTGATAACAGAAAGACAAAATTTATTAAGAGTTACAACGGACAGGAAAATGTGGAGAGCTATGATCGCTAATGTTCTGAAGGAACACTGCACAAAGAAGAAGAAGAAGAAGAAGAAGAAGAAGAAGAAGAAGAAGAAGACAGTTCCCAGTTGGACCAACTAATTCACTACCGATTGCACCACCCGCACTTCCGAGCCAAATTCTGGGAGGATGAAATCCTGAAGCTGCCTCAGTGATGGCGAAAGGTAGTGGAACAAAATAGCGTACCCGGGGTTGAATAAATCTATGTATGAATATACAAATATTATCTTGGAATTTTACTTTAAAAGAACAAACCTTACGGACTTTCGTTCCTACACAATGTATCCACTTACTACAAGCCCTGCAAGTTTATATCTTTCATGACTACACTCTTGACTTATTTATGAAAACAAAAGACGCTTGCTGTACCAGATAGTTTGAACCCAGCCTCTAATACAGTGTTTTTCAAACTGTGGGTCCATACACTTCAGTGGGTCGCAAGGTAAATAAAATGGGTCGCGACAAAAAAAAAAAAAAAGAAGAAAAAATAGGCAAGAGAAAAGTGCAGAATATAAGCAACTCTAAATGTTGCACAGCATTCATAAACCATCGCTAGTTTTTCACTGAACTATGCTTGTATTATATATATATATATACAAATATAGATATATATTCTCACACAAAAACCATTGTCTGGCTCACTAGGTGTATATATATATATATATATATATATATATATATATATATATATATA